TCCTTCCTTCCTTCCTTCCTTCCTTCCTTCCTTCCTTCCTTCCTTCCTTCCTTCCTTCTTTCCTTCTTGCGACAGGATTTTTCTACATAGCCCTGGCTGTTCTAGAACGTGCTATGTAGACCAAGCTGGCCGAGAATTCACAGAGATCTACCTACCTCTGCCTTCTGAGTATTGAGATTAAAGGGGTAATCTCATACTGTATTAAAGAATCTAATAAAATCTCCAATTCTGCTTCATACTGATGGGTTCTTAAATTCTTTTCTGTATTCAAGCCATAACTCTCTGTTTGGCCTGAGTTGAGGCTCCTAACAGGTTATGGGAACTCTTCAGGCTTCTAACGGAAACAACATAGAGCTCAGCTCGGTCATCTAACTTCAGACAATATCCAGCATCCCCTTTGGGCCTTGGATTGTCTTCTAAGGATAGGGGAGCTACTGTAAAAGCCAGGAGGAGGACCCTCACCAGGAACCAACCAAGATGGTTTAGCTTCAGCCTTTAAACTATGAGAAAACAAATTCCTATAGTTTAATCATTCATCTTTGGTGTTTTGCTATGACAACCCTGTAAAACCAAGGCAGACAAGTAATATAAGTCTGCTTGCAATAGAATATTTGCTTATTGGGTATTTACATATGATAATTGTTTTAAGACTTATTTTCATTAATTCCTCGTCATAATGAGGTAGAGGGTAGCTGAACCTTCTCACCTACAATTTTTTTGGTATTGTCATTAAATTTTCAGTGCCTAATTAAGAGCATGTTTGCAAACTGGCTGGGGTTACTTCATAGTATTGGCTGAAGTTGGGACAGTAAATCTGGGGGAGATGGTATGTATTAAGAATGCAGAAATTCTAATTACCTCATCAATAGTTCCTATCATTTTAGTATTTCTTATCTGCAGACACATTTCCAGAATCATCTTCTGTGCTAGCCTTGGCCTTCCAAGAAACACACAAGATAAAATTAAATATGCAAGTAACATATTAGGAGAAATGTTTGTTCAGAGTGGGGAGGGAGCCAGCAAGGCTGTGAGGGCCTTCAAGAAGTGATGGAGGTGCGATCCAACGTGAAGGAAGCAGGTAGGGAAGACAGGTTTCAATAAAAAAGCACATTAGGTGAAAATACAGTTTTGTTCTGCAAGACCACTGGGAGGCCATGCACTGATGTTGCCCTTTAGAAGTCCTCGACTCTCAGGAAAGGGCCTGCTGTCCATATGCTGCAGGTTGCATAAGTTGTTGGCTGAGAGAGTCCAAAGGCAGCCCGACTTCCAAGTTCAAAGGGAACACGATTTCAAAGTGTAGCGCTTGTGGCTCCTAATCCGACATGATGAAAGCATTCTCGTGGTTGCCACACCCAAGTCTCCAGGTAGACAGTGAAAGAATCAAAACTGAGATCCTGAGGGCTGCGGCCTCACTTGCTCGGGGGTGAAGGGAAATCCACACACACACCAGAGGTCAGGAGACTGCCTGGAGAGTGCTGTGGGAGAAACTCGGGTGTTTTTGAAAACACGAAAGAAAAAAGCCCGGTTTTCATAGCATTCTTACTCAGGAGGGGAGACACAAGCACATGAAATAAGTATTTTCACTGTATCAGATAGCGGAGAAAATTAGAGATGGGGTGCTGGGGAGTCTCAGCTGCAGTTATTAGAAGGTGAGTCAGAGAAAGTCTTTGTGAAGTGATGTGGGCGAAAACTGAAGGAGGTGCAGATGCTGTGAACTCAAGTGTTCCAGGCAGAGGGTGCAGGGAGTGTGGAGGCTGCTCTGGAGATCCAACATCATGCCTGCAACCCACTCTCAGTCATTCAGAAAATAACCTTTCTGTGTACAGAGCCACAGAGGAGGAGGAGAGAAGGAACCATGAGGCCAAATGTAAACAAATGTGCCCCTGGGTCAAGGCTGGCAGTCCGTGGCGTTCTTTCTGCACCTGCTCTGTCACTTGGTCTTAACCATTTTCCTGCCCCCTCTCCGCCCCCAGCCAAAACAAATAGAAAAGCCAGAAGAAATTACCTGAAGGCATGCATATGGGGTTATGAGAATTTAAATTTGGCCTTTGATTAGCAGCGGAAGGATCTCTGAGGGTGGGATGGGTGTCAGGGCCTGGTTGGGTGAGCCAAGACAGTAGCCAAAGACTGGCGCTGAAGCTCGGTGGCAAAGCATTTGCTTAGCATGCATGAGGTCAGGACTGCCAGAGATTGGAAGGTGAGAACTGAGGCCAGGAAGAAGTTAGTTCAAAATTTCTCTGCTAGCGTTTGTTTGGGGGCAAGAGGATCCAAGAGCCTTCCCAACACTACTTTCAGGATGAGGGCAGTAGAAGCGTGTTTGCCTCCTGGTGCTAGTGAGCTACGGAGGGAGGACCGAGGGCCAGCAAGACAGTAGACCCAACGGTACCGAGCTCTTGAACTGAGCAGAAATGAGCTCAGAGCCCAAAGAGCACATGGTCCTGGTGGTGCTGCTTGCTTGTTTTTTAGGCGTGTGTGTAGATGGAGGTTGTCAGTGTCTTCTAGTCAAAGGCCCCAAGGATGCTCACCAAGTTGGGTCATTGCTTACTCTTGTGAAGGAATATGTATACTGCCGGAAAATAGGGGCTGTCTTAATAAGTTAGTGCTCCGAGCTGAACTCAGAACGCTTACCTCACATGCAGGAGGGTTTGATCCCCAGACTCCATAAACAAAGTTTTAAAAAATGAGTAACTATGCCTCTTGCAAGCTGTGGATCCGGTTAGGTGAACTTGCAGGACCACTGAAGTTAGGGTTCACTCAGGATTGGAGGTGTCAGGAAGCAGGACAGCTAGTCTCAACAAACCATCTGCCAAGAATCATCACTTGACCATTCTGACTAGGAGTGCTGGGTAGGGGTAGGGGTGGGGGTGGATTGATGGTTTTTTGTTTTTTTGGTCTCAGAAATCAATGCCTGTGTTTTATCTAGGTACAGACAAGGTTACAAAGTGCTTCTGTTTTTATCTGGTTCCATCCTGATCAGCGTGGCCTTGTCTGGGGTTGATGTTCTACGTAATGGTTTCTATGCAACAGAACACAAGCCTAGACGAGTTGTTAGCAGTGAGAATCATGGTGAGAGAGCCCCAGAGTGCCCTCTCCTGATCCTTCTCTGTGAGATGGACGCCAGGCACCTGCAGAGCACGAAGATGCAGGAGGATGTCAGAGGCTGGAGAGAACGGATACCAGAAACTCACTGCACAAGGACACGCCAGACAACAGGAAGGACTTCCTGAAGCTGGTGGTTTTGACCGACAGACAGCGACAGGTTCTGTAGTCACGCTTTGCTGCACTGGCCCGAGAGAGTCTGGTTTACAGAGGACGGAGGTCCCATCAGACTGTGATGGGGGAGGTCTGAGTCTTGCCATTGCCATCTTGGATATCTGACACCACTGTGCCTCACGTTTTACATCTGTAATAGGGAAATTATCAGTGTTGACGTCCCCTAAGCTTTCTGAAGTCTGAGTGAGTTATTTTGCCAGACACCTAGAACAGTGCTGAATAGGGTGAATGTAACATGAAAAGGCCGGGCCTGCTTGTTTGTGTTTCTGTCCTGCCTGGCCCCCCAGCTGTTTAGTCCCAGAGAAAAATCACACACAGATCTCTGAAAGTTATAAAGCTGATTGGCCCATTAGGTCAGGCTACTTATTAGCTAACTCTCACATCTTGATTAACCCAATTTTCTGATCTATTTTAGCCATGTGGCTCAGTACCTTTTTCAGTGGGGCAGCTCACATCCTGCTGCTTCGGTGATCTGGGCAGGAGTGGGAGGAATCAACTTCCTCCTCCCCAGAATTCTCCTGCTCTCTTTGCATCATTCCCACTTCCTGTCTGGTTTCCCCGCCTACACCTCCTGCCTGGCCAATCAGCGTTTATTTAAAACACGATTGACAGAATACAGACAATTCTCCTGCACCAGGTGAACACTCAGTGGGTGCTACCTATTACAGCACACACCTGCCCCATCTTTTCATCCGCATTCTCTTCTAAAAGTGTTGACATGGGGTTCGGTTCCCCTTTACCATTGCAATTTGGCTAAATGGGAAGTACAAAGAGTAGGACACAGAACATGAGAAAATAAAGAGCAAAAATGAGAGACCTAAGTAATGTTCTATGTGTGAATTTAAATCTAACAAGTGCCCAAGGGGTCAAGCATTTGGGAAGAGGGGGAGGGAAGGAAGGACTCACAATAATACCAAATTTTAAAGGTATCCTGTGCTTTTTAAAAACAAGGCACCCATTTGTGTAGCTTGGTCTACTTGTGGGACTCCCAGCAGCTGGAGCAGGGGCTGTCCCTAATGCTTTGGCTGGCTTCTGGGAATCTATTCCACATACTGGGTTGCCCTTCCAGCTATAAACAATGGGAGGAGCTTAGTCCTACAACAACTCAGTATGCTATGGTTTGTCGATATTCAAGGGAAGCCTGAACAG